TTAAGAAATACTAGATTGTTAACATTAGAAGGACATGATCTGTTGTTCGGGTGGCATGCTTTTCTATGGTATAAAGGAACTAAAACACAGGGGTACTTTAGAAGACATTATATACGGGAGTCTCTGTGGTTAAACTGGGAGAAAATTAAAAGACAATGTTATTTGAAAATTCCAGTCTGGCTATCGACTATTGAAGCATTTTCTTATCCTATGATATACAAAAAGGAACAATATGGTGAAATATTGAATGAAAAGGGTGAACTTAAATCTATACAAAAACTAGAGGAACAAGGTATAAAGATGAATTGGTTTTCATATGCGCAAATACATTCAAGGTATGATAAAGATTTTAAAACAGAAGGTTTCTATGATAAACTGACTGATTTAGATAAGATTTTGACAGGTACTGATGAAAAGGTGATTAAAAAATTGTATGGATATTTATTAGAAATTAAACTAGAAGAAGAACAAGTTAAAGAAACTATGATTGCTTGGGGGAAGAATTTTGGATATGGGATTGATCTAGAGAAATGGCAAAAATTGTGGTCTCAAAATTATAAAATGACAATGTCAACAGCATATAAAGAAAATTTGTATAAGATGTTTTACAGGTGGCATTTCCCCCCGACAAGAATAGCAAGAATGTTCAAGAATAAATCCGAAAAATGTTGGAAATGTCATCAGACACCTGGCTCATATTACCATATGTGGTGGACTTGTGCAGATGTTAAAAAATACTGGACTAAAATCCACACGTGGTTGGAAAAAATGACAAAAAAGCATATAGACTTGAAACCAGAGATATTTTTATTGGGAATTTTACCTGAAATATATAGTAAAGATTTGAAATACCTGATCGTAAATGTATTAACAACAGCTAGGATTGTATTTGCTAAAAACTGGAAAAATGAGAAAATACCATCACAGGAGGAAATTATTAAGAAAATATTGGAATATGCTGAAATGAGCAGATTGACATTTGAAATTAGAGAACAGGATGATAAACAATTTTATAAAGTTTGGGATCTATTCTATCAATGGTTAGACAATAAAGTATAGTAATGAAATATGTAGACTTGTAGAAAATACTAAATATATAAAGATGTACTTCTTTCTTATTATATCTACAAAATGATTTTAGGATAGATTTGGGATGATAATATGAATTGTCACAAAACAAATTTAAGTAAAATATGATTATTTTCTAAAGCATGAATGAATAAAAGTATAGTCAAATGATTGATTAATAATGATACCAATGTATTTAATATTGGATTGAAAATATGAGATCATATACAATGTAATTGTAATTGAAGACTACGAAATGGAAGCACAAAACAATTTGTAAACCAACCGGCACACTGTATGTACATATATGGAAGATGGCCTGAT